GTGGCCCAGCACAAGCATCCTGCCTGTAGGCTGCCCAAAGCCTCTGTACTCACAGTAGCGGAGTGGAGGGCAGTTCTAGATCAGCTTGCTAAGTGAATGAATAGTAACTGACACAAGGTTGGAAGGTAAGGAGGTACAGGGGCAATCTGGGACTCAAGGGGCAATTGGGATGCTGCGGGACGCTGCGGGACACTTAGGGCATATGGGATGCTTGGTGATTGCAGCACATGCGGGGTGCCTGGGAAACACGGCACGCAATCACGTGCGTAGGGACCACGGCAACCAATCACGTGTGCGGGAACCAGGTAGAATTGGCGTTGTGTCTAACACCCAGCTGGGGCATGCCACCTGCACCAATTGTTTGGCCATCCTTATAGAATACATGGCACATCATGCTCTGCTTCATAGCCAGAGGCAAAGCTCACAAGTCTGAGTATTATCCTCCACCCCTTGATTCCCTAACCCTCATAGAACATATGTTACATCATGTGCCGCCTCACAGCCAGAGGCAAAGCTCACAAGTCTGAGTACCTCATAGAACATGTGTCGCATCATGTGCCCCCTCATAGCCAGAGGCACAGCTCACAAGGCTGAGTATCATCCTCCACCACCTGACTCCCTAACCTTCATAGAACATATGTCACATCATGTGCTGCCTCACAGCCAGAGGCAGAGCTCACAAGGCTGAGTATCATCCTCCACCACCTGATTCCCTAACCCTCATAGAACATATGTCACATCATGTGCTGCCTTCTAGCCAGAGGCACAGCTCACAAGGCTGAGTATCATCCTCCACCACCTGATTCCCTAACCCTCACTGGAGATATGTCACATCATGTGCTGCCTTGTAGCCAGAGGCAAAGCTTCCAAAACCACATGTCATGCGCAGAGCTCTAAGGAAATAACGCATGTCACATACAACCCCCTTGCACCTCAACTCAATGACCTTATGAGACCTGACTGGGGCACACCAGTCAGGTCCTAAAAGTCCCTCAGATGAACAAGCTCAGTGCATATACACCGGTGCTTTAGCTTGTTCTGGAGCACTGACTCGCAACGTACGGCATCCCGTTGTTACAAGCCCCATGATGCGCAATGTCTTGCCCCTCACGGTCTACACTGCATGCGCGTTCATACAGTGCTGCTTGCTTACTAAGCGCCCCCAATAAGCGTGCAAGTGCCCACGGTCCAAGTGAAGTCTTTGCTACTACCACCATGCTATTACCTGAATCATAATGCCAACCAATACGACGCTCAAACCATATCTTATAGCTCTATTGATCCCATTGCATGTAGCCCTTGTATGAACAAGTTCTTTATTCTCCGTACATCTGCTTGCGACATCCGTTGGCTTGCTCAACACACAAGTCTGCTTGTCATCCAACTGTCTTGTATATCCGCTCGTCTCATAGATCCCGCTATGAACGCTTGTCATCCGCTTGTCTTGTATGTCCGCTCGTCTCATAGCTCCCGCAATGAACATCAATCCCCCAATGACCGCTCGTCTCATAGATCCCGCAATGAACGTTTGTCATCTGCTTGTCTTGTATGTCTGCTTGGCTCATAGATCCCGCGATGAACGTCAATGAACGTCTACCTGATCAACTGTATCCTTTGAAAACAACCGGGTGAACGGTCGCATGATCTGGTATATTTCTTCCCACAATGAACGCCTACCTGATCAACTGTATCCTTTGAAAACAACTGGGTGAACGGTCGCATGATCTGGCGTATCCCTCAGATGAACGAGTGATTGCTCCAGCCTCTGAAGATCAGACACTACCAAGCTAATGGCTGTGAAAGCAATCACGTAGATCCCACAAATGAACGAGTGATCAGCTTTGTCCTCTGAATGCAGAAGAAACCAAGTAAATGGTTGTGCAAGCAATCACTTAACCAACAAGATGAACGCAAAGGTTATCCCCCATAGTAATCATTATTGAGGGGACAGGTTAGGCGATCACCATCTCCATCCCCATCAACTATACTGGTGGTTTCAAACCGCCCACAGCCTGGATCTGTAGATGCCAAAGCGCACCATGAACCTAGCTTGTAGGCCTCTGAAGGTTACGTCATACCGCAAGCTCAACAGACAAGTCCGAAGCTCAGCAGATATAACATCCCCCCCTAAAACCCCGCCCACAGCATAGATCTGTAGACGCCAAAGCGCACCACAAAGCCAGCTTATGGGCTGAAGGTTGCGTCATACAGCAAGCTCAACAGACAAGTCTGGAGCTCAGCAGATACAACATATCCCCAGCGCAAACCAAACATTCTAGACCTCAGGTGATCACGAGATACCCAGCTCTCACCGGCAAACCAGAGGGGCTGAAGATACGCACATAACCACCACCAGCTTTGAATGCATGGTGGACACCCATGACATCACAGAGCACCTAACCACTTGTGATTACATCATACCCAGCTCTCGACGGGCAAACCGGAGGTGCTGAAGATAAAGACATAACCACCAGCAGCTATATGCCTGCTTTGTAGCATGAATGAAAGGTGAAAGGTCTAACTCCCTAGACCTTTCAGCAGTGCGGGCTTGTGAAGGCCTCTACCGCAAGAATACGCAGCAGCAGTAACCTGTAAACAAGCCACTTGATGCCGCGCATCCCTACAGCCACTCACCAGCACTGCTCTTAGGGCTGACAGGCATAAGGCAGCTCACTTTGAGTCATCAGACAACTCTGGGTCAGCACCAGCTACCTAGTTTTGTGAGTTTTGCTGCAAAAAGAGCTCTAATTTGCGATTTTAGTGGCAGACTGTGGACCTCAGGATTACCATCAAAGCCTGGCAGTTGCGCAAGCAGTCCTAGCAGCACCAGCAGTACCTGCGCACCAGCAAGAGGCGCAGCAGCGGTGCGCAAACCCAGAGGAACAGCAGCGCCGGCAAGTAGGTGAGCAAGGCAAGCAGGAAGATATGACATCATCTTGGTTGAGCGCATACTATGACATCAAGGGTAGTATGACAGAGATTTGAGCTACCGCAGGTGGGTATGGTGACTTACTTCAAAAACAGCTACTATAGGGTAGTACAGCGGGTAAGATCAGCTACCGTAGGGCAGTACAACAGCTATTTAAGCTACCGTAGGTGGGAACAGTGACCAAAGCTTTGACTGTACTTGAATTGGAGTGTACTTCAAATACAGCCACCATAAGGTAGTACGGCAGGTAAGATCAGCTACCATAGGGTAGTACAACAGCTGTTCGAGCTACCATAGGTGGGTGCAGTGACCACAGAGCGCATTACGGCAGAGCGGGCAAGTAAGTCAGCAAGCAAGCACTAGACTATGACATCACATGGACGTACGGTACTACGTCATGGATTGCAGTGACCAAAGCTTAGATGTAGTACGGCAGGTGGTTTGAGTTACCGTAGGTGTGTACGGTGGATGGTTTGAGCTACCGTAGGGGTGTACGGTACGGTACGCGTAGGAAGTGACCATAGGTGCGTACAGTGACTACGGAGCATTGATGTAGTACGACAGGTGTTTGAGCTACCGTAGGGTAGTACGATGGGTACTTGAGCTACCGTAGGGGTGTACGGTATGCATAGGGAGCAACTGTAGGTGAGTACAGTGACTAGAGAACATTGATGTAGTACGGCAGTTGATTTGGCCTACCGTAGGGCTGAGCATTGATGTAGTACGGCAGTTGACTTGAGCTACCGTAGGGGTGAGCATCAATGTAGTACAGCAGCTGATTTGAGCTACGGTAGGGGTGTACGGTACGCGTAGGGAGCTACCGTAGGTATGCATGGTACGCATAAGGAGTTACTGTAGGTGAGTATGGTGACTATGGAGCATTGATGTAGTATGGCAGACGATGGGTGTTTGAGCTACCATAGGTGATTACGACAGCCATTCAAGAACACAGACCTTTGGTGGAGTACGATGGGTGTTTTAGCTACCATAGGTGTGTACGACAGCCATTGGAGCTACCGTAGGTGAGTACGACAGCCATTTAAGCTACCGTAGATGGGTACAGTGACCACAGAGCGGTGAAAACGGAGCGGTGACGTAGTATGGCGGTTGATTTGATCTACCGTAGGGGTGTACGGTATGCATAGGCAGCTACCGTAGATGGGTACAGTGAACACAGAGCGGTGAACACGGAGCGGTGACGTAGTACGGCGGTTGATTTGATCTACCGTAGGGGTGTACGGTAGGCATAGGGAGCTACCGTAGATGGGTACAGTGAACACAGAGTGTTGATGTGGTACAGCGGTTGATTTGAGCTACCGTAGGTGGGTACGGTACTTGTATCAACCTACCATACATGGTGACCTCAGGGCAGTCACGTAGTTGGTGGTTGATTTCAGCTTCCAGCATTTCAGCTACCGTAGGGGTGTACTGTACGAGTAGGGAGTGACCGTAGGTGAGTACGGTGAACACAGAGCTTTGATGTAGTACGACAGGACCGTAACCGTACCGTAGGGGTGTACGGCACGCGTAGGGAGCTACCGTAGGCATAGGTGGGAACAGTGGGCGGTTCGAATTACCGTAGGTCACTGTAGCACGGCAGGGGATTTGATTGACTGTAGGTGGGTATGGTGAGTGCTTTGAGCCACCGTAGATGGGCACAGCCAATGGTTTGAAATGCTGTACGTTGTCAAGTCTATAGTAGTCTCTGTCCTCACCCCTCTTGCACCTCAATTGAGAGAGCTTACCCAGCCCAACTGGTGCACACCAGTCGGGCCATGTAAACCCCCTAGATGAGCAAACTCAGTGCATGATACACTGGTGCTTTAGCCTGCTCTTGAGCACAGACTTGTAACGTACGGCATCCCGTTGTTACAAGCCCCATGATGCGCAATGTCTTGCCCCTCACAGACTACACTGCATGTGCGTTCATACAGTGCTGCTTGCTTACAAAGCGCCCCCTATAAGCTTGCAAGTGCTCTCTAAGTAATAGTATTTGCTACACCCACCATGCTATTACCTGAATCTAACCCAGCTCTTACCCATTGTACTTATTAGCTCTATTAACCCTTGAATGCAGCCTTCAGACACTGTACTTATTAGCTCTATTAACCCTTGAATGCAGCCTTTACCCATTGTACTTATGAACGCAATCAATTGATCGATTGAAGCCAACTGAATGAACGCGATCGATTGATCAATTGAAGCCAACTGAATGAATGACGATCGATTGATCGATTGAAGCCAACTGAATGAATGATGATCGATTGATCAATGATGAAGCCAACTGAATGAACGCAATCAATTGATCGATGATGAAGCCAACTGAATGAATAACAATTGATTGATCAATTGAAGCCAACTGAATGAATGATGATCGATTGATCGATTGATTGAAGCCAACTGAATGAACGCAATTGATCGAATGATTGCAAACCAATTAAAGGGCCAATCAAGCAATCTCACCTGCAGAAGACATCATTCATCACCGCAATCCTCATTGACGCAACAGGTTAGGCAGACCACCATCTCCATTACGTCAACATATGCACCTGATTTCAGATTGCTCCCCATAGTGCAGCATTACAGCACTGTTCAATTGACTTGAAGCGTGCTGCAAGCTGGACACTCAATAGCTTGAGTGCATTCCATCATACGAGCGTGCGCAGAGCAAACCAAACCTTGAAGCTTTCCTTTTGGATTGAGTCAGCTCTCAATGGGCGTACCAGAGTTACGGAACACAATACAAAACTGAGGTTCAAAGCCCAATTTGCAATGCATCTACCTTTGAGCTTCGCTCAAAGGCTTGACGGCCTATTGCTAGACCTGTGAGGGGGACTATCCTGGTTTGTGGAGGCCCCTAACTGCAAGGCTATGCCGCAGCAACTCAAAGAGCTACTGTGTTGCGACACATCCTGACAGCCACGCCCCAGTTCTGTCTAAGGCTGACAGGCATAAAGCAGCTCACAATGAGTCAACAGACAAGCTGTAAAACAGTTGCAGCTACCTAGTTGTGTGGTTTGCCTGTACACAGAGCTCTGATCTGCGATTTTTTTGCTAGCTTGTGCTCCTTCAATTGGCCAACAAAGTCTGGCAGTTGCGCAAGCACCCCTAGAGAGAGGCACAGCGCTGAGGGCTGTTGTAGTGTGGTACGGGAGACAATCACGTACGGTGGGTTGTTTGAGCTACCGTAGGGGCATACGGTACACATAGGGGGCTACTGTAAATGTGGACCGTGAACACAGAGCTTTGATGTAGTACGACAGGTGTTTCAGCTACCGTAGGAGTGTACGGCACGCGTACGGAGCAACCGTAGGTGCGTACAGTGATCACAGAGCTTTGATGTACCGCAGATGGTTTGAGTTACCTTAGAAGTGTACAGTACCCATAGGGAGCAACCGTGAATGGGTACAGTGAACACAGAGCTTTGATGTAGTACGATGGGTGTTTGGGCTACTGTAGGTGGTTACGACAGCCATCCAAGCTATCGTAGGTGCATACAGTGATCACAGAGCTTTGATGTACAGCAGATGGTTTGAGTTACCGTAGGGGCGTATGGTACGCGTAGAGAGCAACCGTAGATGGGTACAGTGATCACAGAGCTTTGATGTACCGTGGATTGTTTGAGTTACCGTAGGGGTGTACGGTACCTGTAGGGAGCATTTGTAGGTGCGTACAGGGAACACAGAGCTTTGATGTAGTACAACAGCTGTTTGAGGTACTGTAGGGGTGTACAGTACACGTAGGTAGGTACAACAGCCATTTGAGCTGCAATAGGCTTGCACATCTGTATGGCACGTGTGCCTGTGTATGGCAGATTGTCTGTGTGGTGCGCATCTGTATGGCGCACGCATCTGTATGGCGCACGCATCTGTCTGGACGGCGCACGCATCTGTATGGCAAGTGCGCATCCATATTGCGCACACATCTGTAGGTATGGCAGGCACGCGTCTGTATGACGTGCGCATCTGTATGGCATGTATGGCACGTATAGCACGTATGGCACGCATCTGTCTGCGTACTTTTACGGCGTAAAAGTGAGAGTCCGTGGATCCGCGGACCTCCAGACAAGTTTTTTGGCCGGGGATTTGGCTGCGCATCCGCTTTTGCGCCGTAAAAGTCTCGGGGCATATGTATAGGCCGCGTTGCTGATGGCGCGTCCACGCGCGCGCGCGCGCTGGCAGACTGTGCTTGTATTCACGATTGTTGCTGCACGTCATTCACAATTGTAATTGTGGGCCTGTATTGCTGCTGCACGTAGTTGTATTGCTGCTGCACTTCATTCACAATTCTAATTGTGGGCCTGTATTGCTGCTGCACGTAGTTGTATTGCTGCTGCACGTCATTCACAATTCTAATTGTGGGCCTGTATTGTTGCTGCACGTCGTTGTATTGTTGCTGCACGTCATTCACAATTGTTGGCCTCCTCCGCAGCTGCATGTCGTTGCGCTCACCTTTGTCGCTGCACGTTGTTGTATTGCCGCTGCACGCATTTGTATTGCTGCTGCACATCATTGTATTGTTGCTGCACGTCGTCTTCAAAATCGTTGCTGCCGCAATGCTGATCCACCGCGCGGGGGCCGCAGAAAGTCTTGACGAGCTGTTTGCTCACGCGCGCGCGGCTTGCGCACGACATGTGAACATTTGTGATTCAAAGACATCCAGCAACATACGCCGCACCACGCCCGACGCACGCACATACTCACCACTCTCTCTCTCTCTCTCTCTCTCACATGATCAAGCTTTCCAAGCTACGCTATCTATGTGTGTGTGTGTGTGTGTGTGTGTGCAGGCGCATCTGAAATGGCGCGAGATGCGCCGCGAATGATGAGTTTGAGTGTTTGCAATTTTACCGGTTACGAGCACGCCACGCGACCTATTTGCACCGACGTTCGCGGACGTGAGACGCTGCCGCGTGCATCGACGTTCGCGACGTGAGACGCTGCCGCGGGCATACTCGTTCGCGTCTTGTAACACCAAGGCAGTGAAACTTGAAGAGTCGGCTTCGAAGCCTAATATTCAAACCGCACGGGTTGCCAGTGGTATCGAGCAACGTTTGGGTTTTGGGTGCACAGTGTCTTCGAAATCGTTAACCTGACCTCAGCTTTGGATTAGGTAGCGTTTTCTTGCAGGCGTCATAGCTCGACCCCAGTCGTATCACTTGCAATCGTGTGGCGCGACTACACGGACGGGTTCGGCGCAGAAATACCCCATCAGCGAAGCCCTTTTGCCCACAATCTGTAACAAGAGCCCCTGCTCGCGCTCGCACAGCATGAATTGGTGACGCACGGTGACGATGACTACAGTCGGGTGACAAGAAAAAACGAGCGCGGATGCACGCGCCTAGTTGGTGCTTTGTAGAAGCGTCGAGGGTGAGGTGTAATCCCCAGTCGCGTCAAAGGCGTACAGGGTGATGCGAGAAGCGCCGCCGCATGCGACGGTCGAGTTGCCAGAGCACGCGTAGTTGCACCCGCGAGCAAGGGGATCGGAACTACCAGCTAAAGGGGACGTGCTTGCGGTCGGTGCGATTTGAGATCCAAAACACTCGCCCGAGTACTCGAGACCGCAAAAAGCCAAGTCCTTGTCTGCGCACGCGCTCAAACACTTTTCCGGAGTCATTTGCGCGACGGAAAGCGTGACGTTGAGCGCCCGCTTTGATGGGTCGTCGATGATGCAGTCCGAGTATGTCCACTTGCCGGCCGCTTTGACCGTAAAGATGCTGGGACTCCACGACTTGTCTTTCACGATGGAGAGTCGATTTGATCCCCCACAGGTCTGTGTGCTGTCGCCAGAGCAGGGCATGTTGCACCCCGAGCTGGCTGGTCCAGAAGAAGCGGCGTTGAGGAGGTAGTCGCCACAGAAACATTCGGAAGAGTACTGTGAGGTCGGCGTGTCAGCCTCGTTCCGTGACGCGTCTTGCGATGCTGCTCACCTCTGTGCCCGAGTACCGGAAACCTTGAGCGGAGCAAGCGGAAGCGCAGGCGCTGGGAGAGTTGTTGTTGTTGGAGTAGGCGCGAGTAGGCAGCGAGCGCGAACCTGCGTCGACGTAGCATCCGAGAGGGTTGTAGTTGGTGGGCAAAGGAGCGCTTGTGGGGATGCTCGTGGTGGAAGTCGAGCTGGTAGATGTGGTGCTGGTCGTGCTGGTAGATGTGGCGCTGGTCGCGCTGGTTGACGTCGTGCTTGTGGCGGAAGTGTCCGTCGCGCCCGTGTTGGAGGTGTTCGTCGCGCCCGCGTTGGACTTGTACGCGTTCAGCAAGTTGCCAGCGCCGCAAAGCTGAGCGGAATTGCCGGGGCACGAAAAGTTGCAAGAGGCATCGCTCGTGAGGTCTGGATTGTTGTTGAGCGCATTACCGCAATAGCACTTTCAAAGGCCGACTCGAGTCAGCAACAATCTGCTGTGCTCGCCAGTCGCGCAACTCACCTCTGATCCATACTCGACGCCAAAGTAGGTGAAACCGTCGCATGCTGCGGCACAAGTGTCCAAAGAGTTGCTCGAGCCCAGCTGCGGGGAAGCACCAGAGAGCGTTCTCGTTGACGTCTTGTCTGCGAGACAGCCAAGAGACGACCAAGTAGTGCCCTTGCTGCTTACAAACGAGCTCGGAGCGCTGGCAACAACGGGTCTAGGCAGCGGCGAGACGTCGCTGTAGATCGAGAGCCTGTTGCCGGCTCCGCATTGCTGAGAAGTGGTAGCAGGGCATGCAAAGTTGCATTCAGAATCTGGGCGCTGGTTTGAAGAGTTGCTGAGGGAGCTGCCACACCAACACTCGGTGCCATACTCTAAGCCCGCGATTGCCAAGCCGAGCGCGGAGCAAGCTGCGCGACACGTGGCCACGTCGTTTTGTGCGCCTGCGTAGGCCTGCCTGCTCAAGCTGCGCGAACCTCCGTCCGTCCAGCAACCGCGGTAGGCCGTGTCGGTAATTCCAGTTGGCGTGCTAGAAGGTGTCGTCGAAGTGCTCGCGGAAGTGCTCGCGGTGGACGCGGTGCTCGCGGTGGACGCGGTGCTCGCGGTGGACGCGGTGCTCGCGGTGGACGCGGTGCTCGCGGTGCTCGTCGCTGAACTCGTCGGGGTCGGTCCTTTGTACAGGTTGAGGAGGTTTCCTGCCCCGCAAAGTTCCGTGCTTGCGCCTGAGCACGGCATGTTGCAAGCCGAGTCGGCGGCTTTGGTGGAAGCAGATCCAAGCGCGTTATCACAGTAGCACTCGCCGCCGTACTAGTCGAGCGGCAGAGGTGACGTCAGCGCAGACTCTAATGTGACAAGAATCATCGACAAGCTCACCTCTACGCCAAAGTACTGATAAGCTGAGCAAGCAGCAGCGCACGTCTCTACGGTGCGATTGTCGAGGTTCATCGTCACTGCCAAAGAGCGAACGCCTCCGACATTGTCTGACCAGCAACCTTGTGAGACGTAGGAGCCCACGGCGGGAACTACAGCAGGCGCAGCATCTGTAGCGAGCTCGCTCAACGCCGAGTAGACCGAGAGACGATTTCCTGCTCCACAGACAAGACCAGACGAGCCAGAGCAGGGCATGTTGCAATCGCTCTCACCGACCTTTGTAGTGCCCGCTCCAAAAGAGTTGCCACACCAGCATTCCTGCCGGGGCGATGAAAACAAATTAGAGGGGCGCGACTATGCAAACCGATACGGACAGACTCACGGAACCGTACTCTGCACCCGAAATGGAAAAGCCGGCGGCATTGCAAGCTGCCAAACACGTCTGAGGTGTATTGTTTGGTACACTGACCGAGGTTCGGAGTGCCCGTCCTCCAGCGCTAGGCTCGGCATAGCAGCCCTTGTAGTTGGAAGGTGTCGAGCTGGGCGTCGCGCTCGTGCTCGTGCTCGCGCTGGTCGTCGAGGTGGTGGAAGATGCAGGCAGCGTGGAATTGTACAAGTTCATTCGCCCACTGCCTCCACAGAATTGAGCTTCATTGCCAGCACAGAGCATCTGGCAATCTGCGCTAGCTGCAGCAGTGGTGTTCCTAGGCGTGTTTCCACAATAGCACTGTAAAGGTGTAGCAGGCGCCCGTCAGCGGGGAGCTCCATTGCGCGCCTGCACTCGTGCCTCACCTCGCTACCGTACTCGACGCCAAAGTATTGATAGCCTTGGCACGTAGCAGCACACGCGTCTACAGTGTTGGCTGGTCCACCAGAGCTCTTGTCGCTCAGCGCGCGGCCTGAAACAGCTTCAGTCCAGCAACCGAGCGATGTAAAGCGGCCAACCGATGGCACCACAGATGGAGTCGGAGCTTTGGCAGGCGTGGAAGCAGACCAGACAGAGAGCCGTTGATTGGCTCCACAGTACTCTTGACCGTTCCCCGGGCAAGTGTTGCTGCATCCCGGATCGATTGTGCTGCGAGACGAATAGGCGAGGCGATTACCGCAAAAGCACTGAGGGGAGCGAGGGCGTGGTGTCAGACGCGGGCAAAAGGTCCATCTGCATTTTCGGGGCTTACTTGATTGATGGACATACCAGCGACCGCATAGCCTGCATTCGAGCAGGCGGCAGTACACTTTTCGACGGTGTTGCTAGAGTCGCTGTATGACAGAGTGGCTAAAGCTGCACCGTTGGTCGCATCGTCGCTAAAGCAACCTTGAAAAGTCATTCCGCTGGCGCCAGAGCCGGTGGCAGCAGAGGGTGGCGCTGCATTCGCACTGCTTGGTGGTGCGGGGTCAGAATGAGCACCACGCGCGACAAAGTGTGCGCCCGCACTCACGCATTCGGATTAGGACTGTCGCCGATCATTTGCCGGTTGCCAAAGTCAGTCGAGCGTGAACCATCGCCATTGAAATTGTCGGTGCTGTGAGTGGCAAAAGGTGAGTGATTGTAGCTTCGAATATAGCGACGCGTCCGCGTCGAACTCACAAGAGACGTGCACGACCAGCTGGACTGGCAAACATGTACCCTGCATCGTGACCACAATTCACGTAGTCGACATTGTCATCGCTTTGAGGAGGGTAGTACTTGATGATGTTGTAGAAGCGCTCCCCACGATTGGCACCAGTGGTAAAGGGTGCGCAGTCGCTGCTGTCGTCGCCGAAATCTTGTGTGCCTCGAGCCATGATGATGCTTCGCGAGTTAAAGTTGGAGAGAACGCTGGGTCGACCAGACTTGACGAGGGCAGCGTTGTAGGTGCCGTAATTGGAAAGCCCATCTCTCCAGTCATCGTAGCCGGCACATTGAGCAGGGTCCTTTGCAGGTCTTGTCAAGTCGTACCACAGCCAAGAGTTTGGATTTCCTATCCAATATCGCAGGGGAGTTGACAAGCCGAGCTGTTTGCCTACAGAGGCGTATCGATTGTTCATCTGAGCACCGAGCGAGTGTCCCGCAATGACGATTTGATTCAAATTGGGATACAAGCTCTTGTTGTCGAGGTACTGCAGCATCTGGTCGAGCACGTCGTAGGAACTGATGGTGTTTTGGTTGTATGGATACTGATTGTTGAGGCCAGAAGCCCATTGCGAGCCTTTCCAGACGATGGCCTTTGACGTCGAACCTTGTCCTGCTGGTTTGCCATTCACCCACGGATATCCGACGTCTGCAAAAGGGTTCAGGTTCGCGGTCAGCAACGTGCAGACAGCCTTTTACCTCCAATACTCACTCTTGTCATCGCCATTGGCAAAGTAAGGTGCGATGATGGCGACGGAGGATGGATTGATGGCAGGATCGCTGACCTGCGAGAGCGCAGACAGCATGTTGGACATGTACGTTCCCGGGTCGCGGTTGAGCCCGTGAAGCACAATGACGGCGCGCTTGACCAGCTTTGGATCTTGACGCTTGCCGTTGGGTAGGGTAATGTAATTCAACAAGCTTGCCGATCCTCCTGCGCCGTCGCTGATCTTCCAAAAGGTGATTTCTGCTCCAGGCACACCCGGCATGGAGTTGTTGTACGCCGCGCCTTGATACTGTTGCCCTAGCACCATGCTCGCTAGACTGAGAGCGATGAGGAGCCATGACGTGCAGAGTTGCCACTTGTGCATGTTTGCAGATCGAGGGGCGGGGGGAAGGAGAATAGGGAAAGGGGACTGCATGCGAGGGGGGTCAGTAAGTTGTCAGAGGATCGAGATGTGCAGATTTAAGTACTTGTGCGCTCGCGCGTGCGTTGGACGTCGCGTCGCATCTGATGGAGTCTTTCGATGGTCTGGAGCATGGCGAGATGCAGATGGATCGACAGATCTCGCTGTATCAGCGCTTCTCCTGAGCTCAAAGGACGGGAAGCAAAGCCACTGGGCAGATGTATGCTCCCGAATGGAGAGCCATTTACCCTTCCCGACATTCGTGTGGCGGTAGTGGCATCCCGCAGTGCCGACATCGATGCAACTCGTCTCCCGTGCGTTTTGTAGCACGTACATGCTAGCGAACTTTGGTTACGCCTGAGAATCCGTGAATGTTCTGGCCCAATGCATTCCCACGTATGCCTTTCCTCTGCCATGTCTTGTTGCCCTGCTGAATTTTTGCGCGCGCGACATCCTCTCCAAGTCGTGGGCAGCAATCGAGCGTCGAGCCGAGCGCCGACCCGAGCGTCGATCCGATCTTCAATCTGAATCTGGCTGAAAGAAAAGCTGGCCGACGCCATGCGATGCCAGGATGGACCTGTCCTCCGTCGAGAGTCGAAGACTCGCGGCGGTGGATCGTGGCTTGGAACGGAAAGCGAGGCGCGCGTGCAGGCAGGCTCCTTACTCGTGCTTGACTATACCGTGAACGCGCGCGAATGCGTGGCAGACAGTCCCAGTGCACAGTCATCTCCTGCCCGCAACGCGTGAATGCGGGCTAGCGCGGGTAGGCTCATGCATGCACTATACAACTGCGCAGCGCGGCGGTGTTGATTCGCGTGCAGCAATAAGTAACCTGCATGCATCTTCATCCCGATGCGCGCGCGCGTTGATGCAGATGCAGCGGCTAATCGCTCATTGAAATGGTTTCTTGTAGGCGAGATTTAAAGCAGTCGGAGCAGCAATGCGCGTTAAAGCAGTCGGAGCAAGCGCGCATGAGGTTCCTTCGCACGTCGCTCCTGGTGGACGACCTCTGCTGAGATCGAAAGCAACCTTATCGCTCATCTGCAATCGCCCTCGCTCGCGGGAAGCTTCGGGGAGCGATGCACGTTGGAGCCCGCGACGGCGGTCAGCATATCGTTGCACTTGCCCTTTTCGAATGCTTGCTATTCGTATAAGATGGCTGGGAGCAACGACTCGGATAGACGGCACTAGCGCGCGCGTTGCACCTTTGCACGACGGAGTCACCAGTTGTGATTAGCAGTCATGGCAAGGCTCTCATGTGACGACGCTCACTCGCGCGAGCTCACGTCCGCAGGCAAGGATCAGAGCCGTGGCGTGCGGGTGAGTGCGCAATGAAATGAATTGAGGCAAAGAGTGAGGCGAAGAGTGAGGCGGAAACAAGGGAACAGTCACAGCGAGAAAAGTACAAACGGAGGGAAACCCAACACGTCAACGCAAAAGAGGCAGGGCGGGCGGGGAATTTTCTCGTGACTCGAAAAGATCGAAAATGCGAATCGTGAATGTGACATTTTTTACTGGCTGACCACGCCAGTGACGACACGAGAAAGAGTGACGTGATCGCTGCCGCGCCATTGACCAGCTGAGCGACAGAATGAGGAAATCAAGTCAGCGAAATATGCCTCCCCTCACACTCACACGCATCGCTCGCACGCATCACTCACTGTTGGTGGCGTACTCTGCGCCCCAGACCTTGTTGTAGAAGGCGCACTGCTGAGCGTTTGGCACGCCGTTCAGTTCGAGCGCGTACGACACAAACTGCACGCATCCAGTCTTTTTGGTGCAAGCAGTGGCGCAATTTGCAGTGTTAAAGTCGCTGCTCAGCGTCAGCGCGCCCATGTAGCCCGAAGGAGCTTGAAGAGAGCCCGGCAGCGTGTTGAGAGTGTAGCCTGGAATAGCAGCCAAGTCGTTGATGGTAGGACGTTGATACGCGTTGGAAGCGGCCATGACCACTTTAAAGTCGTAGCGGTAGCTCTCCCTGTTCGTGGCTGCTGCCGTAGTGAGCGAAGAGTAGGCCGTGCACACCAGGTTGGTCATGGATTTGGGGTTGCGATTGGCGGCCGTAGGATCGACGCTCGGAGCACGCTCGGCGTAGATGACGAAAGCGTTGCAGTTGGGGTTGGCGCTTTTGCAAAAGTCGGCACAAGCATTGACGTCGTAGGACTTGAGATATTTTACGCCGTAGTAGCCGCTGGCCTCGGCAGAGGCTTGATAGTTGCGCCAAGGCTTACCGCTCGAATCCTTGACAAAGACGAATCCAGCAGGGTTGATGGCATCTTTTGCCAGGTTGGCTAGCGTAGTAGAGGCAAGAAAAGCTTCGGGCGTGTCTGCGGGACTGGATACTCGAGGACCGCAGCCGAGGTTGCCATTGTTGGTGCAGGTACCTCGACGGGAAAGAGTTTCACCGTCGTCCGAGGCATCATCGGCTACTGCCGAGACGATCGTGTCTGTCACGGCCGACTCGTCGACGCTGTAATCATCAATCTTGGCAGCAACCGCTACGCCAGGCGCTGGACCGGTGGGTGTGTCACCGTCGATTGGATTGTCCAGACCGTCAAAGTCGATGCCATCTTGAGGAGCGGGGCGCGGGCTAGGCATACTGCTGACCACGACGGCACAGCATAAAGCTGCAAGTAGAGCGCTGGTTTGGAAACGCATCTTAGCGGTTTTGAGAGGAGCGAGGGAGGCTAGAGGTGAGATGATTTGCTGTGTGATGAACATTCGAATCGGACCTCAATGTCTCTCGATCACGCCTTCTTATAGCTTTTCGCAGGTGATCTTCATTGGATCGTCCCGGATCGACTACTCGTCAGCAATGCGTCGTCCCAAGTCACCCCTCTTGGTTGCCAAGATCATTCTTCAAGCCACCGCCGACGTTTGCAAACGAGCACAGTCGATCGTTTTGATTTTCCGACCTCGGCCCGACGCACCTACACAGTGCCGCAGGATTCGAATCCAGGTGGGGTCCCCATCGAGGTGGCTTTGACGGGAGTATATGTGGCTTGAGTAAGGCCACAAAGTGAGGCTGAACATCAAGACGCGCTGACGGTCAGGAATCGCGGAGCAAAGGTCATGCTCGAGCGGAGTTCGCGAACACGTGACCCCGCGCAGGGCTGTGAACACCCTCGTGCAGTCGACTCACGACTCTCCCACCCGTCCACGCTGACCTCAAGACTCGGCCATCGTAAGCCAGGCGAGCTACTTGGTGCATGGCAGCGAGAGCAGCGTGGCGTGTGGCTTGCTCGGGAGACCGCAGACCGGGCAACGAAAGGAAAAAGTCTCTGGATGCAAGGGAAGCGGGAGGGGTGAGACCGGTCGGGAGACGAGAGGGAGCAAGGCATGAACGACTCGGGACTGGACGAGACATTGCAGGGTCTGGGCTGTGCTGTGCTGTGCGCACGCAGGGGCCTTCATCGACGATCGAAAGGGTGAGGGGCGGGATCGGGAGGACCTGCAGCGGGCATGAAAGACGCGAGCTCGAGGGTCAGAGAAGCGAATCTCCTTCCCCTTGCCTTTTTGTGGCTTGCCGAACGGGATAGGTTCTGTCTTTGGGCAAGTCTACATGTCCGCTCGTTCCTGCAGAAGTTCTGGACTCGAAACAGGTCGCTGATAGGGACCCCTCTCGCTTGTGAAAGTCGGCTTTACCGAAAGGCAACGCAACATTCGAGAAGAAACCGAGGCAGTCTCTGGAGGGCCGTCCGCTGATCGCACGGTATTTCGAAACAATGACATCAAAATCAGATTGCAAAAGAGGGTATTCTGGAAAAGTCCAAGGGGCATCGGTGACAAGGAGACGGGAGAGAGTGTAGGGAGAGCCAAGCGGGACTTTGAAATCGCGAGGGGAAGCAAGCCGACCGTCGCTTGGCGTTGCTTCTGCTGCAAAGAGAAAGGAGAACCAGCAACAGCTGACAAGAAAGGCAATGGAGGCGGTCTTGAGTCGACACGTGCAAGGTCAGAATTGGAAAGACATGATGTACGGCGAGAGTAGGAAAGGGTAAAGAATGCTGTAGGGTGAAGCAAGCATACTCGTGAGTCGAAGTTGACGCTATGGGAGCCCCACTTGTCGCAACTCACTGGCCGATCGCAAGCAACAACGGAGGGAAGAGAAGGTAGACGCCATCTACTCTCCACTCCATCGGGAGAATCGGAGTGGTGCACAACACGACGCCAACGACGATGGCACTGTTTACGAGCAAGCAGTGCCAATACTTTTTCAGGATGGCGGGCAGCTCGCGCCAAAAGTTGGAGGACTCAATGTCTGCAAAGGTGGGGTGGGATGGTAAGCGCGGCTCCTTGCAGCTGCTTCTCACAGACGCACCTTTCAACGTTGCCGCCCAGCTCATGTTGTATCCAACAGGGTGCGCAATGAGCGCCATCAAAACGTGGTAGCCAACGCCAATAAAGAAGATGATGAGGCTAGGCATCCATTTGAGGTGGTCGTAGAGAGCACGAGCGATCGTCTCGTGCTTCGACCGCGCGCGACTGATAACGAGGCCGATTGTACCTCCGACTGTGCAGACAAAACTTTTCGCATTAGCGCGCTAGGAACGTGACGAAATTCTGCGTCTCATCACTCACCGCCGTACACGACAACAACGGCTACCCAAACTTGAAAAGACGTCAGGAAGATGTGGTCGACCTCTGGATAGAAGAAGCCTTGGAGCACAAAGAGCGCGACCGTCACCGGAAGGGATATTGCGATGGCCAAGTAGGAGAACATGTAGCTGAGGGTGCTGAACTTGGCACCTGTTCAAGGAAACGTGCTCAGCGCAAGTGTCGCTTACTTTGATGAGCGGCATGCAGGACTCACTGAGTGCCACACTGCTGAACAACCATTTGAGGAACATCTTGGCGAAGGGGCCTTTTCTCCACCACTGGCTTATGGGATTCAACATGATCTCGGAGCATCCCCAGCCGTATTTTTGAAGACGATTGACTTCGTCATCCTGCAAGGGACGCTGAGTGTAAGCGCGTGCGTCACTCTAGCCAGTAAATCATCGCGCTACTCACCGGAGTCAAAGAGACACCTTCAAGGAAGCCATCTTTCGACCAAGTGGCCCATCGAACAATGTAGCCCTTGACAACCAGTCTTAAAGACATGTCGAAATCTTCAGAGACCATGTCCCATGCCCAGATGCATCGATCTCCTTCATCATCGACAAAGGAAACCTCTTGAACGGCAGACCAGCGCATGAATGCATTGTGTCCCACAAATGGTGCCATGGAGCCGTTGGCGACGACCCAAGAGATCGAGTAGTTGACCATCTTGGTAAAGTGGCCAATGAGAGCCTCAAAGTAATTGTTGGCGACGTACATGACTCCGCTGCAGTGTTGCAGCACACCGACCTCGGGAGAGTGCTCCATTTCGGAAACGCTGTCGAGAAAACAATCTTCAGGAACGCGCGTGTCCGAATCGATGATCAGAATGTAGTCGCCGATGCGAATGTCACCGCTAGCCCACGCGCGGTTTCCGCCTTCCTCGATGGCTTGTTCCAGCGCAACTGTATAAAGGCTCTTTTCGTCTTCGGCGCTCCACATCAGATGGAGCGGCTTTCGAGCCTGGGCTTCTGGACGAAGGTCGTTCATAATCTGCTCGACGCGCATGGAGAGCGAGCAAGTAAAGTTGAGATTGGAAGCCTTTTTGAAGCGTCCCTTGCGGATGAAACCGTCGGAATTGTGCTTGGGACGAGCTACCCAGCCAATGTTGTTCCTGTCGTAGTAATCGCGCCGAATGTCTTGCTCTACGGCGTCGAAGAGCTGCATGCCATCCTCGCTGACCAGGATGTTGGCAGTGCCGCCTTGAAGCTCGTACGTTGCGACAGCTTTCTTCAGAGACTCGATGGTAGGCATCAAGACGGACTCCAATCCCTCTTTGTAGACCGGCATCTGGACGGTTACGTGGGGAAGAACGTTGCCGGTAATGCGACGCGGTCGTTCTCCACTAAAGTATAGCCCGTTGCCGTGCAGTTGGGAGACCGGCATGATGAGGTGTGCGATGATGGCAACGACGGTGTCGCAGAAGAACATGGAGCTGGAGGCGCGAGGAAGCGCGATCAATACTTTGCTCGCGTGTCCTTGACTTTAGCTGACTCACACTAGGAAGTACACGGGCAAAACAAGGACGACGATGATCATGCGAGTCCATGAGCCGTCCAAGAGGCAGGTCACTAGAGTACCGCGCACGAATATAGAGATCATCAACAAGTTGATCGCAACAGCGCAGCCAGTGTAGAAAGGCCCGAGCAAGACTTGACGGCGCCCTGATTCCATTACGCCTTGCTGATGCACGGGCTCCAGCGACGTGGTGCTGTCCGAGGGACGTTTTTCGTCTTCGACGTTTTCTGCTGGAGTGGCTACCGAAGCGAGACTGCGGGAAGAGCGGAATGGATTGTAGCCTAGACCAGAGCTCGATCCGCGCCACAGCAGCGAGGGCCTTGCGGGGTTCGGCTTTTGCACCGCGGGTACCGGTGAGGCAGGCGTAGCGACGCGCTCAAATATTTCGGGCGGAGACGCGTCTCCAGGCGCGGGCGTTGCGGTGCCAAATCTGTTGGCGCCAGCCTTTTGCCAGACAAAGTTGACCATCTTGCCCTCGGTATCGTTTGCGTGCTCGACGAGGTCTTCGACGCGGTCGGTCCAGACGATCAATCTCCCTTCCGAGCGAATGAAGCATGCGCCTTGCGCCTTTCTAGAGGTACCGAGGCTGAACATGCTCTCTACCACTTGAACTCTGTCGTCGGCCGTAAGTGCGAGCTCCGTGGTGCCAGGAGGCAGCGATGCTGTGACGGCTCGACAAACCTCGGTGGTCATGGTGAGCGCGGCCTGTGCGAGAGAAGGGAGTAGCCTGAGCATCAGACGCGGCCATCGTTTTGCGGTGTCTAACGTGCTCAGCTCACCTCGCAATTGACGTGGCCGATTTGCTCGACAAAGGCGCTCATCTGGGGCTCGTACTCGGGATAGACAATGTACTGATGCTTGGAGAATCTCAAAGCCACGCAGCTCCAGTCGTCCGTCGCAAACAGATCAGATCGTTTGGCGATCCGGTACGTCTTGCCTGCCATGAGCTCAAAAGCTCGAAAGCGAGCGAGCATCTCGCTCGAACCAGGAGTCGAAGGGCATGACCTGGGAGACTCGGTACCGTCGGCCATCGCGGTGATCCGTGGCGCTGGCGCGCTGAGGATTGATTGCTCGAAAGGGGAGGCAGGGTTGGGCGACATTGCGGGAGAAAAGGGGGCGTGTTGGTGACTTGATAGGGGAGGGGTTGCCGACGAATCGAAAGTGACGGTAGACGCGAATTCATTTGAAGGGCTTTAAGGCACGTCCCGTTCTTGGAGTCGATGACCGCTCTCGACGAGTTCTTCCCTCTTGCTGCGCTCACGATCAAAGATGGCTTCGGACACCGGCATCGGACACCGTGCTTGTTCAGAAGAGCTAAACGACCAGGCGTTGCCAGTACGGTGCGGCCCTCTGCAGCGTGTCCCGCTGACCGTACGGGGAGCTTCCCGTAGCGCTCAGATAGCGAGAGCAAGGGCCTAGAACGGTTCTACTTTGAACGTGCTCCCGTCTTGTCATGAGATAGAGACCATCGTAAAGCACGCAAGACGCCATTGGTGGCAGGATAACATACCGCTCCAGAGGATTGCTCCCAATCGCTGCAATCGGTGTGAGGGGGTGCGAGTGCACCGTCGGCTTCCACGGAAAGTGCGGCGTTCGCAAGTGCAGCGGCACGGGAAGATGATTTGCAGCCATCTTTCGCAGATCATTCTTTCTGACGATCCCGAGATTACGGCTAGCCTGGCCTGACGCGCAGTGAATTGCGTGCGCAAAACCTGTATGGTTCGAGGCAAACGTGAAAAGCAGGCCTCGGCGTGCCTCGGAGGCCGGTTGATCGACTTGGTAGCCTACCTTGAAGAGCTGTAGCCACGGGATGGAGGGACGGGTTCGTGTGGTGCGCGACGGTATGCAAGGTGTTGTATGGCCCGCCAAACGCCATGATAAGCAGCCGTCTCGACAACCAAGCTGGCTAGAGCTGTGGTTGCTCACATGTTCGCAAGCATCGCGCACTGATTACGGGTATCGACGAATTCCAGCCAGACCAATTAATCTATCTGCAAAGTAGTCAATGTTCTGCACTTTAGCAAGAGGTTGCATACGAAGACCGCGTGGTTGAAAGCGTGGACGACAATGTGGTACGATTGCGCGCTCTCACTGAGCCTACGGTTTCTTACTCTTGAACGGGTATCAGTGCACGCGCCTCGATCGCACGCACCATTCAGAAAGGCCCGAAGCTGCGGCTTTGGTGAGTGCGACGACGGGATGCCAAGCGACCAGCGACATTTTCAGACTCCTGTCGAAGAGCAAGTGGCTTTCAACGGTCAGGTGAGCTTTCAAGCACCGACAGCGTGTTCAATCCAGCCCAAGAGGCACGGTCTCCTTGTGCCGAATTTCATGCAAGGGAAGGACAGGCCGGGCTCGGGATGGATGGAGTGGTACGTACGCGTCGCTCGGGCATCATGGCTGTGGCGACAGCCGAGAAAGCTCCGATGGAGTCTATCGCGGTGATCAAACGTGATGCGCGGCGGCGTGCAACCTCGATCTGAATTACGTACCCACTCACATAAATTAAAAGACTGTGCAGCAGCAGCAGCAAAAAAGTCAATTTAAATCGCCTGACACGGTCTTGATCAAATTGCTGTGCATCGCGCACGCGCGCTCGGTCCCGTGCGTGCATGATGCCGCATGTTATTTCAATAATAATCCGCGGTAAGCGCATATGTATGCATGTCAACTTGATTCCTCAATCACGATCGAGTCGCCATTCAATTGATGGCGAGTCTCCCAGTCAAAGTGTGAGCCTCCGTGCTGGATCCTTCATCAACACCGCAGGGTCATAGCGTGAACGCTCTGATCTCCATCATTCGACTTGTGGAGAGCAGAACACGCATGACTCTTGACCTATCATGATCTTTTGCATTTTGAGTTTGAGCAGTGTCTCACGCAATCCGCTGCAAACAAAGTCGTACAATCGCGATCGTGAAATGTGCAAAGGAGGCCGCAAAGTATATCCGCTACCAGTGCTGCTACAACTTACGCATGCAGATATAGGATTCGTGCTGATAGACTTGACCGCTTGCATGGCGCTATCACTGCGCGGCCGAGACACGCGCAATCAAACGAATGAAATGCGCACTGCTGTGAGACCGGAGCAATGACGCGTGGAAATGTGCTTTTTAGCCCGCGCGCAATCCTGCTGCGCTGCGGTCGGAGCTCCAGCAGCGTGCATGCAGGAGGGACCCGTTCGTCGGGACTTGCATGCTTGCATGGCAGGGGCCGGGGGGGGCGAAAGACGAACGACCACGCCTTGCTTTCCACCCGCCGCGGGCATTCCAGACTCAGACGTATCTGTGCTGGCTGGCTGGCCTTTGCCCCGTCAATCACGAATGGCGAGCGCAAAGCGTCACCGTCATGCTGCTGTGATGGTTGCGCTTCAAGATTCACCGCGCTCCCAGCTTGCGGTCCGCTTATCAGAACCATCAGCCTTTAACAAGTCACTGAGGCCAGCAACGCGGGATGCTCGTTTCACGGGAACGGGAACCTCAATGGGGGGGGGCCGGCGCGCACACTTGCCCTCGAGGCTAGCCTCTCTCTTGTATCTGCAGAATTGCCTCGCCCTGCGTTGATCGCGTCTTCGTCAGGCGGTCTTGACGATCACTCGTGGAAACGTGGCGTGGATGCCGCTCTTCGAATCGCAGATTACGAGCGAGGCGATGGGATCCCGCATGGTTGATGCTTTTGCGCTAAAGTCGTAGCAAGGACAAGCTCCTCAGCAGCGACGAGGGACGCAAAGATTGCACAAGCTTTGATAGATGTGTTCGCTAGGGCGACGGCGGCCTCAAATACTGGTCCGACCGCACACCGCCGCTTTCCGCAACGTCCCTTTGATTCGTGCTCCACACCCCCGTGACTCGTGACTGCTACCCTCTCACCACAAAGACATCCACCTCACCCCTATCCCTACACAATGACCGACGATCGTGACCTTCATCAAGTCGAAAAGGACGACGTGCCTCCTCTTCCCTCCTCGCCTTCCTCGTTCCGTGCTCCGCTAGGGAGGCCTGCTTGGTACGGAGCATCGGTGAGTGTGCCGGACGAGGGAGAACATCAGCGCGGTGCAGGTAGTCTTGACTGATCGACCCCTGTTCCACTCCAATGCGCTCACGCAGCCCACTCCATCCTTCAACTTCCTCTCCGGCAGCGCGCCAAATTTCAGCGCAGCGTCTCAGCGCGCCCCTTTTAAATCGCGACTCATTGATCCTAATCGTGAGCGCGAGCACCTGCTGAGATGCGAAACGAAGCTTGGCAAGCAACAGGCTCGCAAAGTGAGTGATTCGCGGATCGTGGCTGTGCTCCTGTTACGCGAAGCTGAACCCGCACTCGCGCAGAACTTCATTGCTTGCTTGGTCCCTGTACTGGTCGGACTCGTCGGTGCTGCCGCCTTGATCGTGACCGGCTACCTGAGCATCAAGAAGCACGACTACTGTCTCGTACTCGAGGACAACTTTGACGGACCTTTAGACACCACCATTTGGAAGCATGAGCAAGAGACTGGAGGTTTCGGCAACAGCCAATTCGACTGGACAACCGACTCTGCCAACAACTCCTACACCAAGGACGGCATGCTCTACATCGTTCCCACCCTGACTGCTGACAGCATCGGCGAGGCTGCCATCATGAACGGTTACCAGCTCAACTTGACCACCACGGGCACTTGCACCGCCTCAAACACCAGCGATCCCGTCAGCTGTTCCGTCGCAAGCAACTTGACCGAAGGAATCATCATCCCGCCCATTCAAAGTGCTCGGCTGACCACCAAAGGAACAAAGAGCATCAAGTACGGCAAAGTGGAGGTACGCGCACGCATGCCTACGGGTGACTGGCTCTGGCCCGCCATCTGGATGATGCCTCGCGACGAAATCTACGGTCCGTGGCCCAGATCCGGAGAGATTGACATTGTAGAGTCCAAGGGCAACATGCCCACAAAGAGATCGCAAGAGCTCGCCAATGTCGTCAGCTCCACCTTGCATTGGGGTCCCATCTCCTACTTTGACGGCTACCGGCTCACCCACGACATTACTCGCGTCTATCGAAAATTTTTCAACCAAAAGTTCTACACTTTTGGTATGGAGTGGGACGAGGAAGGCATCACCGTGTGGAAAGAAGTGCCCTCTAGACCCTTTTTCATCACCAAGTTCAAAGTCGACCGCTACGAGCTTGGCGGCTTTCCACGCTTTTCGGACAACGGAACGGCCATCGTCTCACCGTGGGGAGGCTCGAGCAACAAAGCTGCAGCTCCTTTCGACCAAGAATTCTACCTCATCCTCAACGTAGCAGCTGGAGGAACCAATGGTTACTTTGAGGATGGTGACATCAGCAAGCCCTGGTCCAACAGCAACAACGTCACCAAAGCCAGATCCGACTTTTGGGCTCAGAGGAACACATGGCTACCCACTTGGCCCTCTGACCCGAGCCAGCGCGGCATGGTCGTCGACTATGTCAAGATGTGGCAGCTCGGCAAATGCACCTCTTGATCATCGCGATCGCTATTGTCTTTATCGTCGCCGCTCCGCGCGCTCTCTTACTCTTGCTCTTCTTGTCGCCTCTTTACCACATACTTGTCGCTCGTTTCTGCAATCCAATTCAAAAGAACCTCGAATCCTATTGTTGTAGTGAGTGCACGACGCTTGACTTCACACGACCGGAGTATGACAGAGCAGACACCGACAGGTGAGGTCACCTTTGCCACTGCAAACATGGTCGTCGATTGACTTTCCCGCAAGCATGTCCCACGACTCTTGGCACGTAGACAGACCGTTACGCTCATGCACGCTAACCCTCTCAGCGAAACTCCCAAGCATGGCGCGCAAGACCCAGCCTCTTGGCTGGGGCCTGCGACGGTAGTCACTCCTTTTCTGTGCGCCTCCAAAAATGGAAGCGCAACGTCACTGCCCCTTGCAAAGCCTCGCCTCGCCTCGCCTCACCCTGTGACAGCTTCAAATCGCGTGCCTCTCCGTCTGACCAAGGGATCATCCAGACCAGGGATGGGTATGAAACCAGGCAGCTTCTTGATCGCCTCTATCCAGGCCAAAACGCTAGGATAAGCCTGCAGAGATACATCTCCCATGGGAGCAAGGGCGATATAGACGAAATTCGAAATGTCCGCAATGGTGGGTCTGTAGCCGACGAGCCAACCATCCCCCTTGGCCAATTCTGCGTCGATGATGGCTAGCGACTTGTGCGCGCGCACCTTGGCGTCTGCTAGACGCGCCTGCAGCAACGCATCGTCGGACGTGTTTTGGCCCAGACCGTTGTAGGGCCCGCCGTAAGAGAGGATGGCCCTGGCGGTAAAGACGCCGTGCTGCACCCATCCGTTGGCGAAAGCGAGCCACTCGATGATCTTGACTTGTTCCAACAGATCCTGCCCGTAATACGATGATGGTCCTGTCCCACGCCTGCCCAAGTCGTCGTACGTGGCGGCAATGTAGGCCAGAATGGAAGATGAATCGGTCAGGGTCGTCTGGTTGTGCACCAGCGTCGGCACTTCGCCTTTAGGATTGATGCATCGAAACCAATCGCTCTGCTGCTCTTGACTGAGGAAATCGAGATCCCTGACGGTGTGCGGTACGCGCAGAAACGCTAGCAAGAGACGCACCTTGTAGCTGTTGCCCGACTCGGGCCAGCTGTACAGCGTGAGCGTGTCGCTGGCGGATGAGGCGCCGGCGGCCGCTGTCGTAGACGTGGACATGATCGAGCAGCGCGCAAATGTGAATGTTTGCGGCGGTCGTACTGAGAGGTGCGAGTGGTAGACGGGATCTGTGTGACGCCATCGTGTAAAGCGAAGCAGTCATGCGTGCGGCACCAGCCCTGCTTCTCTTCGATGGCGTGCTTTCCGCGTGGACACGGAGCTTGCCTTTGGCGCGTCACGTGATGCTGCTGGACGCACGGATCAGCCGCTGCCGCGCCGCGCCGCGCCGCGCCGGCGACGCTGATCTTTTGCGTTTCGGGAAGCAGCGTGTTGCAAAAGCACCTCGACATTCACCATTGCTCTCTCACACCGCAGCCGCCGCATGCGCTCTACATTCGCGCTACCGTAGCACGAAACAAGTCGCGAGTGAGCTTCTCCTTGCGCACACCGACTCAGAGGGCCAATCATGCGCCGTCTGAGCCTGACGCTGGCCTCGCTCGCCCTCTCGCTCTCCCTCTTCGCCAGCCTCTTCAGCGCATCGATTGCCTCATCGGATCACAACGACACCCAGGCAGACTCGTTACTGTGGGGCACCTATCGACCAGGTCTGTATTTTGGCGTGCGCGCTCGACTACCCGACTCTCCCCTCTTTGCCTTTTCGTGGCACGGCCTGCAAGACTACAATACCTTTTCAAACACCCGCTTCGAAGCTGGACAAGGCGGTGATGACATTGAATCGTACGGCTGGACACATCACGATGGACGAGGGTACGGTAAAGAGTGGATCGTGGATACCAAGGTGAATGTCAGACTACAGCTCGAGTGGATCAGAGAGTCGCACGGCTGGACCGCCAGGATCAGCGGTGAGCCCATCGACGCTGGTGAGTACGCCCGAGTGTATGCGCTGTACTCGAGGCCTCGCGAGACTGATGATCATTCACGCATCCCCCAGCGCGACCTTGCTTGGTGATGAGCTACCTGCACATCTCATCGCGCACCGAATTGGAGGCCACCTTTGACGAGGACGCAGCAAACGACATTGGTGGACTGCCGGCGCATCCCGCGACGTCGCAGCACGAACCCTTTGTGACAAGCACGCATGCGGATGCTCGCATAGGCAAGTGGACTTTGGGAGTGCGAGAATCTGCAGAGGTCAGAAACCAGCCGGCAGATGCAGAGGAGCCGGCCGAGCAGGCGTGGAGCTTCCTAGGCGAAAAGGTGGATCAGACTTGGGATACGCAGAGTGAGTCGGCGCCCCGTCGCGCTCATCCCAGGCTCCACTCGACTCACCTCTCGCGCCCGCTCTCTCTCTCGCGCTCCCTAGCCATGATCGATCGAGCGAATCAGGATACGATCAGATCACACTTGCAAGAAGTTGGTCACGAGAATGTCCCTCCGCCCGCTCATCTGCTCGCTCTACCCAACGAGCTGGCCAGCTCCACCAATGCGGTGGCCTTTGCGCGCGGCTTCCAAGGCGCCTTTTCGTTCGATGTCTACTTTACCACAAACGGCGCCAAAAGATCTCTGAGTGGCAAGGAGCTCACAGCTGCTCTATCTGCGAGTCGAGAAGCGTACGACGAGCGCTTCGATGGCGTGCTAGGGCTCGCAGCAAAAGGCTACGACTCTGCTCGTGTCCGATTCGCAAAGGAACTGACGAGCGGCTTGGTAGGAGGCATCGGATATTGGGCTGGAGCGGGCGTGGTGGACAGGAGCTTCAAGCACCCGTGGGATGAGAATACCGGAACAGGAGCGATGGACTTTGATGAGCTCGCCACTACCGAACCGGATCCGCGTCTGACGGAAGAGATGCAGCTCTTTAGCGCAACGCCTAGCAGGAGCTTCTTTCCGCGAGGCTTCTACTGGTGAGGGTAGAGTGCGGCCGCCTGCTGCTGATGCTTGCTGAGGTTGTCTCTTCGCGCCGCCTGCAGGGATGAAGGCTTTCATCTGGCGCACATTGGAGTCTGGGATAATGACCTGAGGTGAAGAGCATGGACGCTGGCGTGGTCGTGACAGCGCAACTGCTCACAGCAAGCTCGCGCTTTCTTTGCAGCCTCGAGATTCTAGAGTCTTGGATCGATCTCATCGACGACGATGGCTGGGTCGCTCGCGAACAGATCCTGGGTGATGAAGCCCGCAAGCGAGTGCGTGTCATCGCGCAACGCACTTGCGATCCTTGCTAATTCTTTTTCTGTCTCACGCGCATACAAAGGTGCCGCGCGAATTTCAGACGCAATACCCTCTGTATGCCAACCCGCCAACCTTGACGATGGCTTTGGGCATGTACATTGATCGTCTCATGGCTGCGCAACAGCAGGGTCAAGGTGCCGCCGGAGACGTCGCGTTCGACGCTTCCTACGACGCATCACCTCAGCAAGTCTTTGGCTCGCGCTCCTCCTCATCCGAAAGGTATCTCAACGACCCGGATCTCGCCCGCTCTTTTCTCGCGCGCATATATCCCAAGCTTCGGACGCACTATCAATGGTTCAGGAGAACACAACGTGGGGAGATTGAGCAGTGGGACAGGACGGCGAGATCTCGAGAAGCCTACAGGTGGAGAGGCAGAACCAAAAGTCACGTGCTGACTTCCGGCCTGGACGATTACCCGCGCGCGCAAACACCTCATTCTGGAGAGCTGCACTTGGACCTGATCAGCTGGATGGGTTTCTTTGCGCAGACGATGCAAAAGATTGCAGAGGCGACTGGAGAGGAACGAGACGCAAAGGAGTACGAGGAGCATCACAAGGGCGTACTAGAGAACCTCGAAGGTGAGTGTGGCTACGCGGAATAGTCGCCAGATCTGGCTTTCTGATGTGCGACGCGCTCCGAATTTAGATCTGCACTGGAGCGACAAAGACCAGCTGTATTGCGATGCTGCGGTGGACGAAGCTGGTGAGTTGTCGCGACGCGACGCAATGTCGAATCCATCGTTGACCTCTTCCCATCTCCAGACACCTCCTTCCACGTTTGCCATCGGGGCTACGTTTCCCTCTTTCCATTCTTGCTCGGCTTGCTACCGACAGACAGCCCGCACTTGAAGTCTATACTCGACATGATCGAAGATCCAGAGCATCTGTGGAGCAAAGCGGGCATCCGAAGTCTGAGCAAGCAGGACGTCTTGTTCGGCAAAGACGAGGGTGAATTGTCGCGCGCTGCTCTGCTTTGATTTTTTGCATACTCATTCTCTGCGCTCTCCTCTCCGTCAGACTACTGGCGCTCTCCCTCCTGGGCACCCATGAACTACCTCGCCCTGGGAGCGTTGCACAAGGTGCGTACTCCTCTTGCCCTTTCTGCCACGCACCGTCATCCCTCACACCTCCGCATTCCCCCACTGCAGAAGTACGCAGCGCTGCCTGGTCCGCACCAAATGCGCTGCGGGAAGCTGTACGAGGAGCTCAGAAGGACATTTGTGGAGAATGTGTACCAGGTACGTATCGCTCTGGCATCTAAGCGAACGCACGCATCGCTGACAGACAGCTTCTTTGTCTGTGCGCCCGTAGGAGTACAAGCGCACCGGTTTCGCGTGGGAACAGGTGCGTTCCATTTTTGCCCCAGATCTGCTCGATGCTGATTCCCTACACTTTTGCGTCGCGGCGCCCGGCAGTACTCTACGCATGCAGAGAGCGAAGGACAAGGGCGAAAGAACAAACCGTTCACCGGCTGGACGAGCCTGGTGGCGCTCATGATGGCCGAGATATATTAAAGAGTGACTTTTGCTGTACACACCCGCCTTGCAACATCGTCGCATACGCCCCACTTTTGAATGATGCTGCATTGCGTAAAAAGTGTGCGTGCGATACATGCCAGCTGCTGAAGCGCATCCCGATCGCCGTACCCGCTCGTTTCACCCCTCCACTCAGTTGTTCTTTTTGCTGCTGGCAGAGTCCTTGGCAGGTCGAGGTTCTGGCGATTCGATGCTCGCCAGCAGATTGATTGTAAAGTAGGCGATGGGAATGAGGATGATAAAGGTGATCAGGAGCGCCAAGAGCAGTCCGCTGCAAAAAAGTGTTGGGGAGCGTTGTATGCGTGGTCAGCGGGAAATGTTGCGGACGGAGGCGTGAAAGTGAATGGAGGAAGCGAGCCTCGGCGCGCGTCTCCAGACCCACCTGGAAAAGAACTGGTACTTGTGGAACAAACCACGGTCCAGATCGCTCAGCCCATCCTCATCGTCGAGAAGGGCACGCTTTGATACGCGAGGAAGAGAAGGTGCAGAGGTGATGATGATCAGATCGTCCGAGTACTGCTCGAGGTGCTGAGCGAGCAAGTCTGGGGGATGCAGTGCGATGGAGAAGGTCAGGTGTGAGCGAAGAGACTGACGATCGCATGCGCAGGAACGAAGCTCGGCCCACGACTGACCTTGTTGCTCGAGAAGGTGCTGAGGTAGCACGACGCGCAACACTCGACTCGCAGCTTGCTTCTTGCCTCCTGTCAATTTTTGCAGCAGCGTCTGGGAGGAACAAGCCTTGTTGATCTGCCTTGCCATCTCTCGCGCTGCGTTGCCCGGAGATGCAGAGACGTGCTGGAACGTCAGTTGAAAAGGCGCGGATAGAGCTCGTCGTCTGAGCACGTGGGAGGAAGAGAGGCTGGAGAGCGTAGAGTGCGTGAACTGGTCGGAGCAAGCAGGAGCAAGCAGGAGCAAGCAGGAGCGCGCACCGAGTGTCAGCGGGGGGGTTAGGCCAAAGGGAAGGGGCAGAGGCAGAGGCAGCTAATAGCCGCGCTTCCCTTTCATCTACTCACATCCTCAATCTCGATCAGCACCACATTCTCCACCTTCTTCCGTCCCTGCTCAGCAGCAGTCCCACAAAGAGCTGCCTTGTCGCTAGTGAGCGCCCTAGCGATCTCGCGCGGATCAGCAGCTGGTCCAGCGCGAGAGGCAGAGTGCAGCTGCGGGTCGAGCAGTGTGGCGTGACGAGAGGAGAAGAGCAGCATGGGAGAAGTGTCGATGAAGTTGGCTGATGCTGTGCTGATCACCATCAGCAAAACCAGCAGAGCGCTTGGTGCGCTCAGCATCATGCGCGGCACCAGGGAAGCGGCTTTCATGGTTGTATGCGATGCGATGCGGGGAGGGGGAAGGTGAAGGATACGTGGAATGATGCGGCGGATCGTCGAATCACGACTGCTCCTGGACTTCGATGTTGTCGTCCTGGTCCTCCTCGTGGCTGTGAAGATTTGGTCAAGAATGAAGCGTGCCGATGGGCACGAAGAGGCAAAGAGCTGCCTGCTTGCCTGCCTGCCTGCCTGCCTGTCTGCCTGCCGACCCGCGCCCCGTGCACGCACGCACCCAATCCATGCTCGTGCCCTGCATGGCTGCGAGTTCAGGAGGTCGACGCGCTTCTCATCACGTGATCAGCGTCAACGAGCGTCGATGACCACACCACGCGCTGCTGGCTGTCCATACATGTATCTGCTGCTATATGCAAGCAGCAGCGCGTGCTGCATGATATCAGTGACGCGCACGCGCGCGCGCTCATCGGCACTTGTGATCCGCTCGCGCTCGCGAGATTCACGATGCATGGGTTATGCCGGTGCCGGTGCCTTTGCTGTGTAAGATGCCCTCGCGGCTACGAAGGAGAGCCATTCCCAGTCGAGTCTTGACACAATCACCAATCTACACGATCGCAGGTCCGAATGATCGCTTCATAGCCATAGCTCTTGAGACGTACCTTTCACACCAACGCGCCGGCGCTGCTGTTCGTGGGCGTCCGTATATGCGCCACACAACCATCCATCATCGCGACCAGCTCACGCAAAGCTACGTGCGGGTGCGGGTGCGGCAACTGGACAGCCCTCGCAAGACGTCCGCCGCATTCATTCACCCTGTGCGCCCGTAGCTGACCATCGTTCGTCGTGAGCGTGCAGCGAGACGAGGCGAGATGGCGTCGTCCGGATCGCTATCCGCACCAGGCGGTGGCAGTCTGCCATTGCTGAGAGTCAGGAGCATAGCGCCCTTGCCCAGCTTCAGCATCCCGCATCCCATACCCTCAGCCAGCGACTCGATTTCCGCATTCAAACTCTCCATCCTCTCCATCCTCACCCTGCGAACCGATCCAGCATCCGCAACCTCTTCCACACCTCTCTTTGTCTCTGCGTCGGAAAGGCTCAAGATGGAGGTGTTGGAGGGATGGAGGAGGGAGATGGTGCTGCTGGAGTTGAGACAGAATGCAGTCATTGCGCCAGAGACGAGAAACAGCGAACGTGCTGCAGAGATGGATCAGGAGATCGTCGGCTTTGTGTTGGAGGATCATCATGATTGCGGTCTGCTCGAGGAAGGGGACGAGGTGTTGTGAGTCTTGAGCAGTCGCAGCGCAGCGCAGCGCAGTATAGCACGCGCATACAGGCCAGCTCACAATGGGCATGCCTTATCTCTCTCTCTCTGTCTCTTCGCCCCCAGAGTGCGCATCAAAGCCCCTCATACCCTGGCATCTCTCAAACTACCTCCAGTTCCCAGCGGACATACCTTTGGTCTGCCACCAGGGAGCTTGACCAGAGCTGGCACGCTCTCAGCACCACCTCCATACTCGGAAGCAGCGCCTCGCGAGCCATCCTCCCACAGCTCCTCGGTCGCTGGTCAGCCCAACGCCAATTTCCATCAGTACGTGTACAGGGATCCTGCTAGGGGCGTGCGCGTCATGACCACTCAACAAGCCGCCATGCAGAATGGCATATACGGAGCAGTGTCGGGAGCGAATAATAGGGATGCGTCGCCGGCCAATGGTCATCATCAGCATTTGGGCGTATCGGGGCCCAGCGCACCAGAAGCGAATCCGCGCAGGCTCGGACCGTCTAGACGCGCCAGTGCTGGTATCAATGGAATGCCAAAAGCTGGCGCATACAAGCCGCCTCCCATCTCTCCGCCAGCAGCAGCCGCAGAGAGCAGCGCGGCTCCAGCACGACCCCTGCGAAGACCTAGCTCGCGCGGCAACGTCTTATCTTCCACTCCAGAAGTCGGTGTCGTCTCCTCGCCTCCGCATCAACAACACTTTCGCAGCACATCTTTCGGCTCAGCTGGTTCCCCAGCCACGTCCTCCCTTCCAGCGGCTGGCTTTGGAGCAGCAGCAGCAGCAGCAGCAGCAGCAGCAGCAGCAGCCGCCATTCCGGCGCATAGGCGGCGCAACACTTCAGACGAACCGGGTAAGGGCGCAGTAGCAGCAGCGAACGGGGGCTCTGTCAGTCCTTCCTTCGCTGCCCCCTCGCCCCCTTTGGCGATGCCATCCACAGCATTGGTCATTGGTCCAGGCGTGCAGGGTCGATTTGGAAACACACCAGCAGAACCAGTCTCGCAGTCTATTCAGAATGCAGATTATGGCAACGTCAAGCACTTTGCTAGCTTCACAGCGGCGAGCGGAGAGGTCAGACCGTCGGCTTCATCTTCGAAAATTGGCGATCGCACGTCTGAACAGCAAAGACTTGGTGGAGTAGAGGGACAGAACGAAGTACAGACTGCCACGACTCTGGCGCAGAGTTCGCGGGAAAACGCAGCGGCCCTTGCAGCTGAGCGAACAAGAGGCAAGCGAAAGGGATCGTATGATCAGCAAGATTTGGGCAGCGCCATTACTATCGCTGCTCAACTTTCATCCCCTCTTGCTTCTCCACCCATCTTGGAGAGTGATCGCGATGCCAGATCCAAAGCTGCTGCTGATGCTGCGGATCGTCGAGCTGCGTTGGCGCGAACGCAAATCGCACAGCGCGATGGCGACGTCGCTGGGCCCTCGTCCATGCCGGCTTCCTCCAAAGACAAGCTGCCTCCTACACCCGTGTCGACGGAGCCTCCTTCCGCAGAGTTGCATGGCGTACATGCAAAGCCGGAGCGAACGCAGCAGGAGATCGACGAGCAGCTCGCCAACGATGCGGCGCTCGCTTTGGCCTTGTCGGAGGAGAATGAAGCGGAGAGGGTGAATGAAGGGCCAGCGTTGCCTCTGCGCAAGCGCAAGTCGTCGAGGCCTTCCATGGGAGGAGGCAGACCTAGCACTGGCACCAGCGCGAGTCTTGGTAGCGCAAGTCATGGTAGACCCAGCGATGCGCGACCTCGCAGCTACTCCAACGGCGCACGCAGCTCGCAGACGGGCGGCGGCGGCGGCGGCGGCGGCACTCCAGCAGTGGCCCCGTTCGACCGGTACGTCGATGCTGAAGCGTCGGGGTCCGCAAGTCCACAAGGTTGGAGGGAAGAAGGAGTTTCTGTGGAAGAATTTTCAAAAAAGGCCTCTTTCAAGTCCAACAACGGTGCGGCCGGACCGACCAAAGGTCTCTTGTCGCGCTTAGGCTCTTCTAACTCTGACAAGCCCAATGCGCTCACCTCGGCCGATCGCAAGTTTTTGGCTCGAAGAGCATCCTTGGACCGCGAAGTGGCTCGACAAGAAGCGGCCGAAGGTGCGCGCAAGAGGGAGCTGGAGAGGCAAAGGAGAAAGAAGGAGGAAGCTGCAAAGAGGCAAGAGGAGGTGAGGAAAAAGGAAAAGTATGCGAAGCAGTGGCAAGTTTGGGAAGAGGTTAGGAGGAGAGAGAGAAAGGCTGGACTGCCTCCGCCGGATGTGGTGGAGAGGGATGTTGGTTGATGAGAAGACGAGACGAGACGTTCGAGTTGCCCCTTGTGCAATGGATGGGGAAATTTGCGAGTGCATGCATTGTTGATGGTACGTGTGCGCGGGAGAGTGGTGCTCGAGTGATTTGGGCGATGCGATGCGCGGAAAGTCACGCGATCCTCGACACGCCGTCCTCTTCGCGAGCTTCCAAGTCTCCTCGTTCAGGCGAGACAGAACTGCCAAACCATCGTCTCATGTCCGCGACTCTCTTTTGCTCTGCGTTGGGCCCTGCTTGCCCATCTCGCCCCAAGTCGTCACTCCCATCCGCTCCCTCCTCAAAAGGCGTCTCGTACAAATGTTGGCGTGGCGTCAGAGGCATGAAATTGTGCCAGCCCTTGAACGGTCTGGCTATTGCTGCAGGCACGAGAATGTTTCCCTGCATGATCCTCCTAGCTGTTCGCGTCATCACGATCGCTGTCGGTTCGGCGGACCTTTTTTGATCTGAGCGCGACGCAGCGACATGTGATGTCTTGGCAGAGGCGGTAGATAGACCTGCTGGTTGACCCACCGTTAGAGAAAGGATGTCGGGAGAATGCAAAAATGTGGACGTGCTTGGAGGAGAAGCGGTGCTGGTGGCTTGCGAGGAAGAAGGACTGATTTGTCCTCCGCTAGCTCGAAATGCGCGCGAGATGACAGAGTCATCGTAGCACAGAGCTGCCGTGGCAGCGCTCAACGTCGTCGCAGGGACGGTTCGGTGGACTTGCTGTGGACGCGGCAGGATGCGGTCGCGTTACTTGCCCATCCTCCGCAAGGCCGAAGCGAGAGAGCGCGCACACTACTCACACCATTGCTCAAGGCTCTGATGAGCACATCCATCTCCGACGCTTCGATGCTTTGACCCCCCGTGGTCTTGTAGGCGGCTTTGGGATGCACGAGACAGATTTTGGGCGCAGGTGGAGAAAATTTAGAGCTCAAGCTAGTGGAGAGTTGACTCGCTTCGTAACGGATCTTTTCTAGGCGACGCATCAGCTCGCCGTCGGATTCGAGTACCGATGGATGGTCCAGTAGCTGCGCCAGAGGAATGTGCAGATCTCGAGCATCCACAAAGATGGTCGGAAGGCCCGTATCTGTCACTGTGACTTTCTGTGACGGGGAACAGGATTGAGACTAGAGGAGATACGCAACGCAAACTTCCACTCACGATTTCACTTTCATTCATCTTGATCGAGTCTACTGGCCGGCCAGTTGGAAGTACGCCGCTCTTCAGCGGGCTCTCGATGACGATAGCTGGGCCTGTTCCCGGGACTCCAGCAATGCTGGCCTCTCCCTCGGTACAAGGCATCCACCTCTCAATCTCTTCTTCCCAATAGACAGGTACTCTAGCCTTGACGACCTTGCCTGTATCATGAGCTAATATCCTCAACATTGCCGAGCATGTATCGCCGGCTTTGACTTGGGAGGATGGCGGCAGCGAAGCAGAAATCTGCGACGAACCAATCGCGCTGGACAGATAATAGTCTGCTACCGCGGCTACAAGGTTGCCGCATGTCGAACCCCAATCGATCTGCGTTCCGTTGATAGGTACCTGTCCAAAGCGATACACACAATCTGAACGCGCTAAAAGAGGGATCAGCAGGATGCATCGCAAGCGCAAGCGCAAGGGCGACGAGGCAAGCGCGCGCGCGACTCACCCCAACCTTGATCTGCATGCATGGACCTCTCGAAATTCTCGCTCCATGCTACGCCTGGAAAGGGATGGCCTGCTATGCGCGCCAGCTTGCTCCAATCGTCGGCTGGAGCACTGACTATGGCGCACTTGGAGAGGGAAGAAGCGCCGCCTCCCAAGCCGGAGATTTGACGCATATCCGGGTCGGGCGAGCCTGAACTTGGGCATGTCAGCGCGCGAGAGAGAGAGAGAGAGAGGGTGAGCGAGCGAGCGAGCGGGGCCGCGGCCGCGATGCAACGCCAAGGGAGACATGTGCTCACCCACTGCGCGTGGTCAGAGGGGAGCAAGCATGTGTATGAGTCTGCGCTTCCTGAGATGCGATGCGGGAAATGACTCACTAGCGGCGCATATGATGCGATCGCGCGTAGGCGCATCAAAGCGAGCCAAGGAGCTGGGCGAAAAGATCAAGCCCTTGCTCGTACCTGCGTGCGCCATCATGACATGCCATCGCAGACGGCGAGCAAAGCAGCGTACAAGGATACGTAGCGTTGAGAAGGACAAGAGGTGGGGTGTGAGCGGAGCATAGCATAGCATATATGCCACCGTTGCCGCACTGCGAGACGCACCGCCGCGATAGAAAGTGGCCGAGATGGATCGCAGGTGGTGCAGCGCGTGCATGTGCGCGCTTGCGGATGCCATGCTGACCTCGACGAGTGCATGCGCGGATGTCGTTTGCCCCTTTCCTACGGAGGACTTCTTTCGCCAGTTGTAGTGGAAGGGAGGTGTCCGCCTGAAGGCGATCAAATGTATGATGATTGATCTGCTCCTCCACAGTCTTGCCACGCTGCACGCACGCTTGCCTCTTGGTGCTTGATTGCACTCGCGATGTGGTGGATGTGAAGCAGAGCAGAGGAAGGCGAGGAGGGACATGCTAACCCCGCCCCCCCCGGCCGCCTACAATTGAATACAGCACTCGACTCGCTCGCCCGATGCGCGGCGGCTGTGCAACACGTGATCGTGCCCCCCGCCGATACGCTAAAAGGACACGCGCGCGCACAGCAGCAGGCGCATGCTGTATGCCGTCCTTGCTGCACATCAGCAGCAGATCAACACTCGTGACTGTGACTCGCCACTCTGACCGCGCACAGTGAGCATCTCTTCGCACACCCCACTCTCTCTCTCTCTTGCACTCCACTCCCCCTCTGGACTCGCTGATGATCAGCATGTCTTCTCTTCACACTCCCACATCGCCATCGCCATCGCCGCCTGCCATCAACATCACCTCCCACTCGCGCGCCTCCGACTCCGCCCATCTAGCTCCCTCACGTCCTTTAGGCTCTCGCAACGCTTCATCATCCCGCTCACTCAGTGCTTCCTCCGCCAATGTGAAAAACGCTAGCAGCAGCAGCAGCACCTCAGAGTCGCGCACTGGATCAGAGGAAGAGGGGATGACGATGATGACGACGATGATGATGCCTCCTCCGCCCAAGATTCCTGCTTCCAGGCTGTGGGACGCGAGCGAAGCGAATGTGGTGAGATCCAGATCGGGCACTGTGCTCACCAGAGGATTGGTGCTCAAGGCGGATGGGGGAGGTGAGTGGGTGTGGGTGTGGGTGTGGGTGTGCTGTGACGGGGGGAGCTGCTCTAGCACTGGCACTGTGACTGCTGCTCACTGCTCACTGCTCACGTAATCGCTTCATCTCCTGCGATGCTTCAACACTCACGACTTCAGCCAAACGACCGCGTCTGGATTTGCACCTGCAAGGTAAGCAAGCCTCCTACTCGATCGCACGCCGCGGCACTTCTCTTCCTCCTGCTGCTGACCAAGTCACGCCTCCTCGCACGGCCTGCACGGCCTGCACGCCTGCACGCTTGACACAGGCGCACCCAACTTTCGAAGAGCTGATTGCGACGAAGTGTACGGCTGTGCTCAGCCCACTTGGGCAGGTCTACGAGGCGTGCTGAGCGTTCTCAATTGTCAACCTGCTGCCGCAAGCTCTTCCTACGCGCGAGCGCGAGGCAGACCGACCGCAGGTGGTGTAGCTGCCGCACGATCACGCAGTGCGGATGTGAAGCTGAAGCGCGACGAGGAGGGCAAGAGGAGCAATGAGACGGACGCTTTGCTGCCTGATCAGCCGCGTGCGCTGCCCAACTTACCGGATACGAGCGCATAACATCGAGCTGCTTCTGCTGACCCACGAGCGAGAGAGAGGAGCTGGACGAGGCAGGCGGGTGGTGCAAGTGACGAAGAGGAAGAAGCGTCAAGGCCAACGCGTAAATGCGTATGGTTCTGCACCCGCGAGGTGAGCGAGAGAGCGAGAGAGCGAGAAAGCGCAGACTGCGAGCCAGCCGGGCTGCAGCAAGCAAGCACCCAGCAACTAATGCGCCTGCGTCCCTTTTCCACACCGTCGACGCGACACCAGGAACCGATCATCTACATTGCCAATCGACCATACGTGCTTCGGGAGCTGGACAGCCCGATGCAGACGTACAGCATTTCTCAGAGAGCCGATAACCTGGAAGTGATCGAGTCCAGATTGAAGCAAGATCTGCTGAGGGAAGCTTCCAATTGGGGAGGCCTAGTCTTGGTGCACGAGGAAGATGAGCAGCAGAGCTTGACGCCTTCCTGGGTCGCTGTAGAGCCGGATACGGTGCACACTGTGAGGGAAGTGTATGAAAAGGCAAAGGCGGAAGGATGGGCAGTGGACTATCATCGCATTCCCATTGCTGCCAGTCAGAGCATCGAGGATAACTAGTGCGTCGCGTCGATGTGGCCGGCCATAGCGCCAGCTTCATGGCTTACGATCTGACGCGCAAGCACTCCCCCCGCTCCTGCCTGCGTGCGTGCGCGCGTGCGTGCGTGCGTGCTCAAGCCTCGATGCGTACGTGCGCATCCTCAAAGAGCTCGATCCGCTGCGCACTTCGGTCGTGGCAAATTGCGGCATAGGAGCTGTGCGAACGACGATGGCGATGGCCACGGCGGTCATCATTCGACGCAGACAAATGATGGTGCTGCACGGCTACGATTCGCTGAGCATCGAGCTGCACAAGCATCGCTCGCCGCACCCCAACTCGCACGCATCGGCAGCGCATGGAAGAAGACCTTCGGCGGCAGGTGCCGCGAATGCCGGTCCCCAGAGTATGGGAGATGCGCTGGCGAGAGCTTCGGCTGAACATCAGTATGCGCAGACCCTGCTCAGGCTTATGCAGCTGCTTGCAAATACGGTCGGAAGCAGCAGCAGCTTTGACTCGAGAACTATTCTAGACACTTTGCTAGGCAACCCTTCCCTATTCGACGCGTTCCAGAGAGCATTCAGGGGAGACTATGGCATCATCAGGTCTTTGTGTGGCCTGTTGGAGAGTGAGTCGAGCGGGCGCTTGCCGAATCCAGAGCAGGGCAGTCTGCTCATACCCTTGTCACCCCGTCGCAGAGGGCATCGAGAGCAAACGCGTGGCGGACATTACGCTAGATGCGTGCGGTGCAGTCGTCAACCTGCGCGAGCAGATTTTGACGGAAAGAGTAGCCTTTGCAGTGGCCAAGCATGATCCTAAAAAGGCCGACTTGGCGGATGTGCAAAGAGATGCGCTTCACGTGCGAGGCGATCATGCGGCTGCACGACTGGGTCGAGCAGTGCGAACGTTGGAGCAGTACGTCTCGCTCGTCGTCTTTGCAGAGTACAGCAGCGGGAGCGAAACTGCTGCATTCACGCATCGATTCAGCACGTACTTGAAAGGCAGACCGGAAGTGTGGCACACGATCCTCAGGATCAGGAGCAAGGGAGCCCAGCTTTACCTTTTCGACCCCTTGCAGGATCTCAGCATACTTGGCAGACCAGGTGCGGGCTTGCCAATGTCTAAAAGTCAAATCATGGGAGGCAAGTCTGGCCTGCATCGAGCGGTTGGAGCGGCGGTCAATGGCACGTCTGAACAACCTGGAGACGAATTTGCCGACCACATTGTCAGGAGCAGAGCAGGAATCGTGCTTCGTGCAGGCATGCTGTGAGTAGATCGTGCACTGCTATACGCGCTCCATCCTCCGCCGTCGCGTTGCCCAGCTGACAGCTCTAGCGCACGACCCACGCAAGCTTGAAAGAAGATGTGTGGAGAAATTTTCTGCAGCGCAATGTTTTGTTGTCTAGAGCTGCTGCGGGTGTGGGGGCCGTGCCTGGAGCAAATCTGCTTCGCCGAGTACCCGAGACGAACATCTGGGTGACGGGACAGCCGACTACGCAAGGTATTGCTGGCACGCTTCGAGCCATCGCTTCGCAAGTCGCACCCGATCGCGAGGCGCGGGCGCGCAGCGCGGTGGCAGTGACGTGGCTCAATCTGCGAGAGGAACCGCTCTGTTTGATCAATGGCAAGCCGGTCGTGCTGCGACAGCAGGGCTCTTCCTTGCGAAATGTGAGGGAATTTGCAGGCATATCGTGGGACCGGCTGACGTTGCTGGAAGATAGGCTCAAGACGGACTGTTTGGCCGAGCTAGAACTGGGAGAGGGGAAGATTTTGCTGCATCACGAGACGGATGAAGGAGATGTGGCTCCTCGATGGGAAGAGACGCGCGCGGAAGACGTGCAGACGCTTCAGGAAGTCATGGATAGTGTAGCTGCTCAATTCGAAAGTCAGGAAGCGGGTGCAGTAACGCTGTCCTACAGGCGCATACCCATGACGGCCGAAAGACCACCGGATCTGGCCGACTTTGACGCTATTGTCAGACTGGTCGTCAAGGCGGATCGAGAATGCGATGCGGCAATCGTGCTCAATGATCAGCTTGGTAGAGGAAGGGGCACCCTCGCAGCCGTCATTGTTCTGCTCATCAAACGCTGGATCGACCGACATCGCCGAAAGGATGCTTTAGCGGGCTCGACGCGACGAGCAGATGCGGATTCGCCCCAGGCGCAGGTGCAGGATGGCGTGTCTGGCTTGCAAGCCAAGGCGCTCAGCTACCACGTCATCAATACTCTTTTGCGCATCGTGCCGCACGGTTTGGAGGTAAAGGCTACGGTGGACGAATGTGTGGACTTGTGCGCGCAAGGCGGAGCTACGGCTGTGAACCTGCGCGAAGCGATCGAGCACTCTCGCTTGCAGGCCGAGGAGGCGGGAGAGACGAGCAAAAAGGGTAGATCCTTGTTGCAGTCTTCCATCATCAATCTGAGACGCTACTATGAGCTGTGCGTATTTCAAGCCTACCTCTCCGCTTCCATTCCCGACACGCTCGACTCGTTGGCCAGCTTTGAGCATTGGATCAAGCGACAACCCGTCTTGGAGACGCTTTCCGCCGAATTTGCAAAGGCTGCCATGCACACTGTGACGCCGTTGCAGAAGTTGGACAACTTTGAGGGAATGGCACTTCAGCAAGAAGTGCAGGATGTCGTTGCGAATAGGAATGGCGGTGTATTGTCGGCGTACACGATGCTCAAGTCGGACATGTTCCCTGGCTTGGTGAGTTTTGCAGCGTGTTGAAGAGCTTGCAGCAGCAGCAGCAGCAGCAGCAGCAAGAGCAAGAGCAAAAGTGACTAAAGTTCCTCCCACCTTCACTCTTAGGCCAAAATCGCCCTCTCCCAGATCGAGGGCATGCCCAACCTTCGAGGCGTGTCTTTGGTACTGGATGCTAGCGGAGACACACCACCCCGAACGCCCGTCTCGACGGCCCCGACGGCTGCAGAGCTGAGAACTTGGGGACACGGCATGCCCTCGATTGAAGGTCTGCGCAAGGGCCTAGAGCATATGGGAGCTGGACCGCTGGGATGCAAGAGAGTTGTTGCCTCTTCATTGAGAGAGGAGCCGGTCCTGTTCATCAAGGGCAGACCTCACGTTCTTCGGCTCGCCGATCAGCCTTTGACGAATGGTGAGTAGGTGTGTGCGCTGGAGAGCGCCTTCAAACGCGCGTTTTGCTTACCCTGTCGTCTATCGCTCTGCAGTCGAAGCGACGGGCATCACGGTGAACGTGGTCGAGTCGATGGAAGCATCTTTGAAGGATGACATTTTGCTAGAGATTGAAAAGTACAATGGACGGGTGCTGCTGCACGACGAGCTAGAGCTCGAGGGAGGCAGGTTCGAAATCGTTCCGCAATGGTTCAGCGTATCGCCTTTGGACGTCTTGACGCCTCGAGAAGTGTACGAGACGGTGGCGGCGGAAGGATACCGGGTGGATTATGCCCGCATACCCGTTACGGACGAACAGGCTCCCGTGCCTGCTGTCTTTTCGCAGCTGGAAAGCCGCGTGCAATTAGCCCTGCGGACAGACTCTAGTCCGGCTTTCAATTGCCAGATGGGCCGAGGGCGGACGACCACGTGAGTTCGCTTTCTCTCTCTCTCTCTCTCTCTCCCGGCCGGCGTGCGTGGGATAGGCTGGCGAATTTGCTGACGCGAGACCATGCGCGAGACGAGACGCGCAGTGGACTGATCATCGCCGTGCTCGTCACGACTGTGAGCCACTACGCGGAAGATCTCATCGCGGCCGAGAGCGGCTCTACATTTCCCAGCGCGCTGTTTGGTCAGGCGTCTGGAGCGGAGGAGGGCAGCGATTTGCCGGCGCAAGATGGCGACGACAAATTGTCGCTCATGGATGGCGCCAAAGATGCGATGGACAATAGGGAGGATGAGCTTTGGTTGGCTGGAGAGTATCGAAGCGTGCTTCAGCTCGTCGGCGTCCTTTCGCACGGCAAGATGGCCAAAAAGCTGACGGATCGG